GCAAATAACTCATCATCTTTAGCATGTTAGTTAGTTATAAACACTGAAGGACCACTTTCAGTAAGGGTTTCATAAATCTCACTCAAATGAAACAGCTCTTCTTAGAGTCTCAAATGACATTTTAATGCAGTGTGATAAGGGTAATTGTTCCGTTTTACTTTTGTTGGACCTCTTGTCAGCTTTTGTCACTGTTGACCATCCGACTCAGATAGACTGAAGAGTTGTGCTGGTATCTCAGGTACTGCTTTAAAATGGTTGTCCTCTTACTTAGCTGACAGATCAACCTTTTTGGCCTCATCTAATTACAGATCCCTTTCCTGCCCTGTTCATTTTGGTGTTCCACAAGGCTCTGTTTTGGGGCCATTGTTTTTTTTTGTTTTGCTTTATATGCTACCTCTTGGTTCGATCCTGTCATCTTTTGAGGATATTTCCTATCATTGTTATGCTGATGATATTCAGATGTACATCTCGTTTTGTCAACATGAATTTGCAAAAGTGGGTCTTTTATTGCAATGTTTGGATTCAATAAAGAGTTGGATGCATGAGAGTTTTCTTCAGTTAAATGAAGAAAAAACAGAAGTTATAATATTTCCACCACATAAAATGTCAGCCATAAAGCAGATCCTTGGGCCTTTTGGCAGTCTGGCAAAATCTTCAGTTAGAAACCTTGGGATGGTTTTTGATTCTGGTCTCACACTGGATCATCATGTTAAAACATTGGTTCATTCCTGTTTCTACCATTTACGAAATATAGCAAAGCTCAGCCCCATTGTATCTCATTCAGAAATGGAAACTTTACTTCACGGTTTTGTTTAATCTCGTTTAGATTACTGTAATGCATTGTATACATGCCTAACTAAAACTTCCCTGGACCAATTAGTCTGTGCAGAATGCGGCTGCCAGGCTCCTGACTAGATCTTCTAAGTTTTGTCATGTGACTCTACTGTTAATGCAACTCCAGTGGCTCCCAGTTTATTATCGAGTGAAATTAAAGATTTTAGTTTTGACTTGGAGATTTCTGCATGGACCGACACCACACTACATTTCTGAACTTTTACATTTTTACACTCCTGTCAGGGCTCTGAGGTCTTGTGATAAAGACATGCTGATTGTTCCTCGGACACAATTAAAGACTGAAGGAGACAGAGCATTTTCCTCTGTGGCTCCAAGGCTTTGGAACTCTGTTCCTCTGAATTTAAGATCAGCTGACTCTGTGGACTCTTTTAAAGTTCAGTTAAAAACGTACCTTTTGTAATCTGCATTTGTTTAAACTTGCTGTTTACTTTTACTTTATTTTATTTTTGTTTGTGTTTGTTGAAGCACTTTGTGATCTCTATCTTGAAATGTGTTGTATAAATAAAGTATTACTTACTTACATTTCATTCCATGAGTTTGGGGTCTCGATTAACCCAGATCTTACTTGTTCTCTGGGAACCTGCTGTTAAGTCTACAAGTTAGCAGACCCGCCCAAAAAAAAAAAAAAAAAACCCAGCAGAATATCTAAATTCCAAGCTGCAAAAGGTAGCACGACCGTGTTGCTAATGACCTGAACATCCGTTCTCCCAGTGTTTGTGTGTTCGTAATGAGAATGTGTGTTCTTAACTGCAAGTTCCTATAGTCTGTGTTTATCACTGACAATGGTAATAAAACTGATTCTAATTCTGAAAACCACTGCCAACTGTGGTGAGTGAAGGCTGTTAGGTTTAAACCCAGAGAAAACTCAGGTAAGTCTTATTTATGTCTACAGACACTTTATATACATACATATTTAAAACCGATGAACATTTTGGTAATCTAAACTGGATTGGCCCATTGATAAAACCATAAAATCGGCAGCACACCTTGTTAAAAATAATCAGGTCTTTTAATTCAAAAAGATGGACCAAAGGAGTAAAAACAGCAAGCCTTTACTCCTTTGGTCCATCTTTTTGAATTAAAGGACCTGATTTTTTTTAACAAGGTGTGCTGCCCGTTTTTATGGTTTTATTGCTGGCTTTGGCTTTTTTTTCGGACCACCACCGACAAGCTACTGATTTCTTCTACACCCTCAGCACCTGAGCGCCTGCCTCTGGTATTTATCCATTCTGGATTGGCCCATTTTAAAATTTTTGTTCTAGTAAGCTGTTTATTCATTTACTGGTGCGTGAAATTATAGAACATCTGTGAATGATGCAAACCCATCACTAACCGTTTTAACCACCTCAAAATGGAGTGCAGCGCAAAAGTCGTCCATGCTGTTCTTCAAGCATGAACTAATCATGCCATAACCTAAAGCTCTCTCTGCTGGCCATGCTGTGTTTAGCAGGAGCACAACAAATTATCAAAAGGTCATGATGTTAAGTAACTGGTAAGTCACAAAGTAACATTTGGAGTTTTATTGTCTACTCTATGTCATGACTTGATTTTAAAAAGAGCAGTTTTTTGAAGAAATTAGAAAGAGGAAAAGGTTTGTAAACAAGATCAAATACTGTCTAAATGACAAAAGTTACTAAATCAAAGTGAGAGGAGTGTCTCTGGAACAAGCAGTTTTGATATATTCCTAGCTAAAAGAGCAGGAAGTGAAGATTTTTATAAATATAACAAAGAAAATTTGTTTTTTTTTTCTTTTCAAGATTGGATAAACCCAGATATTTTAAATTGGATGCCACCTTCTGGCTACTTCCTGTAACATCTGTCATACGAGCTGCTGCCCTTCACCTTATCATGAAGCACCAGAAAATGTCTAAAGTGAGAGCAGCTGAATTGAACAGACAAACCAGGGGACGAGTATGAAAAATTTAACAATTTTATTTACACAAAAGGACTGGATCCAAATAGTCAGTAGAGATAGGACCCAGCAGGTAAGGGTCTCCAAGTCTGAGGGGATCCAGTCCAAGTAGGGTGACCCAGGGACCTTGGGGACAAATGCAGGTGGGAGTGGCCCAGGAGAGGGAGAGAGAAAGAGACCCACAGGTTCCTACCAACAAAACCACTTGCAGTTTGGCAGACGGTTCCAGTAAATACTTGCACCAACAGAACTTCTCCAGGAGGACTTGAGGCATGGACTGCACACACAAAAAATACTAATGAGCTTGATATAGCACAAGAACTATGAAGAGGGCTAGTTTCTTTACCAAACGGTGAAAGATGCTCCAGCATTGACCAACTCAAGAGAAGCAGCTTATAAAGGAGAAGAGGATCATCAGGAGAACCAGCTGCAGCTGTTAGAAAGTCTCCACCCATAGGTCCAATTAGGGATGAGGACCTGTGGAAAAACTAAAACTCCAACACACCTGATTTAAAGAAGTACTAAAAGTATTAATCATTTCTGTTGGGTCAGTCATGAGAACATACTATGTTACCAAGTAATTTACAGACATTTTTCAGAAAATGTTGGAATTTTGACAATGTATTTTTTATTGTGATATTCACACACACACACACACACACACACACACACACACACACACACACACACAC